AGTTTAAAAAGAAGTCTTGCTGTAGTCGCATGCAACTAGTAGTTTTTGCTGCCTAATGCGACTCTTCAAACACTGCAGATTAACTGGATGTCATTCTGCTGTGTTCTGTACCTGTTACACTACAGTATGTGCTGGCATTACCTGTAATTGTCTACTGTGGCCATCATGGGCACGCTTTATAGACTACACAACTTCACCGAGTGTGAAACACCTTCAAAGATCCCTCCATAGGGACCACGGAGCACCTTAACTCTGGGAAGGTGAACCGTTTTTATCTTGTGTGAAGACTGATTAAAAAAATATCCCTTTAAGGGACACACATGTGTGTACAGTAGCGGGGAGTGTAATCACGGTACTGTCTGCACAACTGAGGAACAAACCCCAGCAGGCGGCTGGACTCGTGGCAGCACAGGTGCTGCTTCTAACATTGTCTTAATAACAGCTCTGCTCCATTTAGAACTCTCATTAAGCTCTGCCATTGATCCATAATGCACAAACACCAGTACCCGACATTTGAATCATCCATGAATCGGTTCTATGGATTAATAATCTTCGCAACCTGTCATTTGATCTGACTTTGAATTAATGGGTGTGTTATCCACAACCCAAGTAAGACCAAGTGACGAGCTTTTGATGTGATTTCTATGAGTGATTCTTAATGTTTAGGATAAAAGTTGCTCTCTGTTCCTAATGCTTCCTCCAGCCTGCTCCACTGTGTGCAGGAGAAGAGCCGAACATGTTTGGCTCTTTGTGAACACACTGATGCCTTCTACGTAAAGGACAATAAATCTCCCTCAGGTCATTTTCTCTGCATCAATGATTACAAGACTTACTGAAAACATCACAAAATGATGACAGCTACTTCACTTAATGCTGGCGTCCATTTTTAAATACAGATGTAAAGCAGTTTTCAGATAACTATAAAATACTTTGTTTAGTGCCACACTGCTGGTTTCGTTTTCTTTCAGCTCCTTGCTTAGAGAATTTTTTAAAATACTAATAATTTTATTCTGTGATATATTTTTATCAGACGAAGCATTTTTCACAATAAATTCCTAACTTTTGGAGATAAAAGCATTCATCTTTTATCTTATATAAGCTATAGTAATAGGTTATATTCTGACTGCACTACAAAATAGCGAACTCTCCACTTTTTCTCTGAATTTTTGGGGGCTATGTTTTTATTTTTATTCCCACAATCTGCTCATTTGCATTCAGTACATGTAGCCGCCCTCCACTCAGACCTGCAATAAATTCGAGGCTGCTGTGGCTCAGGAGATAGAGCAGGTCATCTACCAATCAGAGGGTTAGTAGTTCAATCTCTGGCTATTCCAGTTCAAGCACCTTAAGAGTCCTTAGGTGAGATACTGAACCCTGAATGGCCTCTGATGCATTCAGTGGAGTGTGTGGGATCACTAAAGGTGTAGCTTTTAAAAGCAGCAGTGTGACTTTGATTAAGAAAGTACTATGGCAGTGCAAGTACATTTATCATTTATCTAATGTGTTTAGGAGACACCTTTAGATTGTAGCTGGAAAAAGAATAATATTTTTACCCAAGCAAATATAATTTCTTTCTCCCCTACTGTGATGACAAAAAAATATATATATATGAGATAAATATATAATCAATTTGACATACACAAAAAACCCACTGAGCTCATATTCTTCTCTATAATAAGAAAAAGAAAACAACACGTGAGACTTGACCTCCCCAGCACCTTTATTTCCTGTTCTTCTTTACAAAAACATCCTCAAATTGCCCTCTTTTTTTACTTATTAACAGACTTTCTCAGAGACATCGACTCTGTATCAAATAGGAAACAGCCACAGAAATGTTCCATGTGTCAGTATTACTGCCAATATGGTTCATTAACAGTTGAAAAATGTTACGAGGTGAGCTGAGGGACAAAAAAGAGGAATGTACCAAAAAAAATAAAATAAAATAAGGAGGGGGGCGGGACAAACCCAGGTTTAAAAAAAAAAAACAAAAAAAAAAAACGAACAACAAAAACAGCTCGCAATAAGAAAACAAATCTCACAGGAAGATGAAGTGCAATGATCAGTAGCTCCACAGTCCTCTGCACTGAGTGTTATTCCAGACTCCCAGAGACGTGGTGATATTTCAATTTCTTCCATTTGGCAACACAGACAAACTGCATGCTTTGAAGTTTTCAACTTTTCGTCCCATTTTCTCTTAAAAAAACCCAAAACAAAAACAAAAAACAAAACAAGGTTTTGATGGAAACAACAAAACAATCATCTTCTTTTTTCTTGCCCCTATTTTTTCTGATTTCTGTGGAGAGATACAAAAACAAGCATTAGTTATTACAGACATGACAATGAATGAATGAATGAATGAATGAGAACCTCTCTGGGTTCTCACTGAGCACCTGATCACTGACAAATCATGGATCATGCATTCTGATGTGCACCTTCCCACAAAAACACAGTGTAAGTAGGCAAAAACACAGAGCAACCATCATGACCAAAATCTCTCAAGTCGTGGACGATGCACGGACATGGACACAAAACACATCACTCAAATGTAATGGTACAACCAGAACCACGAGTGTTAGACAACACAATGGAGGGACTGTCCAAGTGGCTGCATGGCTATGGTTGCAGTGATCGTGGTGGGATGAGTGAAGAGGCAAACCAGAGGGGGGGGGGTGGCAGCAAGTACATGTGAACACTCGGAGTTAGAATGAGCACCACACAGCCATGCACGCTGCGAGACATTATGGAAATGCGCAGTGGATGCAGTCTGTGAGGATGCCCTTACTTCAGCCTGGAAGCAGAACCGACTCATTTGTTACAAATGGGGGAGGCTTTATCGAAGGCTTCTATACTTTGCCAATCTACTACTTTGCTCTGCAGCAATCCTGTAAGACACAGCGAGGTGTGGATAGAAGGGTTAAAGAAAAGAAAAGAGCTTCACGAGACAAAAACTAGCCTGGAAGAAGGGACAAAGTCCTCAGTTGGAGAATGACATTGGTGAAATCGTTAATTGAAATCTTCTACGTTGTTAAATGGGCTGTTGTGAGATCAAGAGGTAAAGGCGGACAATTACAAAGCGAGCTCTCGAGTCAGAGACAAATTGCTCACTCTGGCCCTCAAAGAGCTCTACATAATCACGGTGAAGAAATTGCCCCTGATATCATCACTGCTTTCACTCCTTTAGATCTTGCTGCTGTTCTTCTCTCCTTGTCCAAGTATGCACAAGCTCTTCTACTGGCAGAGAGCCTGATATCGAAATTAGCCTCTGCAGGCCCACTGAACAGCTACGAATATAGAATAGGCACTTTCCCTCAAGTTTGGAGATAAGAACTACCTAGAGGCCTCACAGCACTGAAGTCCTTGTTATCTGGAAAAGGGCTAGGCTTTCTCTCTACCATTAAGGACTCTCTAGGAGCCATTTGTGCCAGTCGCATTTGGCAGGCGTACCTCTTCACTGCTTTCTGGGCCAGCATGCGGTTTCCGGCAAGGAAAGTTACACCGCCGATGATTGCCAGGTACTTCAGAGTCTGGAACATGTTCAGGTGGGTCCAGTAGACGTACATCAGGCCCAGCATGGCTGAAATGAAACAGCCAAATAGATTTGAACATTAATGACCACCCAGCCAAGTTCCCCATCTCCACTCCTTCACAACATATAGAATGCTCCAATGCTATGATATACTGAGCCATAGTCCTTTGAATTTGACATATATCTTCATGGTAACAAAAGGAAATAATTATAGAATAAAACCTTTAATATTTTTACTGGAAGTATTACAGTGGTCCTGTGGTTTGGACAGCCAGCAACAGCCATTAACAGAACTGCAGCCACCATCCTGTTGCGCTGTAGTAGCCATTGTGCTGTCACGTCATTCACTCTAAAACTTACACTATAGCCTACATGTGTTAGTATCATGGATCACATGAGTTGGCATATTAATTAACCAGCTAAACTAGCATTTAACAAGTGCCTTCTTCCTAATGGCTCCTCCTACTCAGCTTACAGAAACCACGCTCTGTCCTGACATCTGCAAACACGTTGCTGATGAGTTTATGGACTCAGTCACTTGTTACGGGTCACACTAAATGAGTCCAATATTTAAAAATTTAAACTTCTAAGAGTCCCTCAGCCTAGTGACTGTTTAGTGATCCCCAGGGAGCCGCTGGTCTAAGAAAAACTGAACCCAACCCAGTTAGCAAGTAGTTGTGGCAGGTTGCTGCCAGTCACTAACATGAGATAGGTTTCCTATCCCATTCTGGTTCTAAAAACACTACCCTGTGCAACTGGTTTCACCCAGCAGTAACCAGCCAACATTTGCTAACAGGTTGGGGAACACACATTTTTCCCTTTATATTCTGGGAAGCGGGAAGCAGCGACTAAGAAAGCACAAATGTTCCACGAAAATGTTTTAAGTTGCGTTAAAAATTACATTAAACTGTTACAGAGCCATGAAGGTTTTGCCACGTGTGCACAGAGACATCGGGAGACACGGCACTTCAAAGGAAATGTTTTATGCCTAAAACACAAACCTCCCTTTAAAGAGAGCACTGTGGCAGGTGAAGCATCGGATCTGTGTGGCGTGACGAGAACACTGAACTCTGTGGTGATAAAAACGCACAGAGCTAAGTCTGCTGGAATTCTGCATTGTTTTCCTGTCACAATTGCCTGTCGCACTTTTGTGTCATCATGAAGTGCCCTCGATTTCAGTGGTTTTGACACTTCATGGGAGATGTAGCCCCACCAGATGTTTACTTTGGAGAGCAATTTGCACAACAATAGTGATGATGGAAATGAGCAGAAATTTGCATTTCCTGTTGTCGTGCTTTTCTGGGTTTAAATTTTTGCTTCTTTTGGCTGCTAAATTCCGCACATGGAAAACTGACTTAATGTCACAGAGGTGTTTGGGGAATTTCATGAATAATGCATACTTAGAATAATCATTCTGCATAATGTCAGCTGTTCTTACAGCAATTCGCTCATCGTGTAGAACAACAGCGGGCAAACAGCAGGCAGAGAAGCTGGAAAAAAGTCGAGTCTGTGGCAAAGATTTCATTTCAAACACGGGGACTAACCTGCGTGTCCCAGATGGAACAGGATGGTGCTCGGAGAGAAGCTGAAGCTGGAGATGTTGGCGCCGAGCTTGACCCACTACAGAGGAGAGAGGGGAATAAAACACAATGTGATTTTTCGTCCTCTGCAAGAGGACAAAAGAGCCAAAAAAATTGTTTACCACCTAACGCACAATGAACTGATCCACGGCAACAATGACTATTATTCATCACTGAAAATGCCAGGGGAAAAATACACTATAGCTTTTGTGATTTCAAATTAAAACAAGTATTATAGTCATAGTGGACTAGAGTCTCATTCACTGTCTGTGAAGGCTTCATACTGAAGAGCTTTTCAACAGGGGAAAAAAAGATCACTGCACAGAGCAATAGCACAGGCGGACGAGCTATCAGGGAAAGCTTGGACTGATAATGAAATAGGTTTGTTTGTAGGTGTGTCACTTTAAATAGCAAATTACTTCCATACGTATACGAAACCACAGCTAGATGGAGAGTGGGGGAAAAAAAAGGAAACATTTTGTACAAACATATTATTATTATTACCAGAATGAGCAGCAGCAGGAAGGGAGACAGGATGAGTGCAGTGAAGGTGTTGGAAACCACTGTGGAGGGCTTCTTCTCAGGTTCCCTGAACAGATGCTGCACAAACATGAGGAGATTGTTAAAATCAAGCTGGTTTCATTCTATCATCAGCCAGTAAATGAGATGTTAAGAGAGCATAACTAGTACCTGAATCTCTGGTTTGGGTACATAAAGAGTCTTAGGTTGAATTGTTGCCGGGGCCTCCTCATCCACGAACTTCAGAATGACGTCGGCCTTTCAAAAGATTAAAAGTGGGTGAGCAAGGTTTACGTCAGCGAGGACTCGCTATCGCCAACAGGCCTCAGACACTCACCACGTTCCACAGGATGGGATTCTCTAAAGTGGCGTCTCCAACGATGAGGTAGAGAGAATAGGTGCCAGAGATGGAGTCGAATTCAGATTTCCGCTCGGCTGTGTCCAACTCAAACTTGTACAGGTTCTTGCTGTCGGGTTCGGCCACAAACACGACCTCCTGGCCAGTTTTCTGATTGTGCAGCCGTACAAAGGTCTGCAACATGGACAAGAAACAGGTTTTTGACATCAAGTGAGGGTTTGAGCTCACCCTCCTGCCATAACCAGTGTGTGTCTTCTTGCGTTTGACTAGGCCGTATGGTCACAAACGAGACTATAAAAGCAGACGAAGTCAGAAACAAGTGTTCTGTCAGCAGTTTGCTGTAGACGTGTGTTCCTGTCGCACTCTGATTACACACCTGGTGAGGTGTGAGCTCCACTCCAGTGTTAATGTCAACCAGCTGGAAGGACATGGCAAAGTTCTGGTGGCTGTCTGCTGTGAAGGAGCTCTTAGCTTTGGAAGGATAGTCCACCCTGCATGTGTATTTACCAAAAAGAAAAGACAAAAACAGATGACAATCATTTAGTATTTTACTTTCCTCTTACGGTGGATCAACAAAAGCTGGCACCACTTTTTAAATTTGATTTCCAACCTGGTGGTCTTTGTGCCGATGCTCTGGTCCTTATCCACCACAGAGAGGTCCATGTTGGTCACAGCCACCTCTGTGGACACCTTCACTTTAAGCTACAGGTGGAGACAGAGTACAAAGCAGAGTCATGAGTACAGTAGTCAAAGTGTGTGCACAAACAATGCAATGAGAATTCAGTGGTTCCCCACACAGCCTGCACACGGGCAGGCAGCCCAGGTATATTAAAGCCTGAACAGATTATCCTGGATGCAAATCACATTCTACACATCTGTGATTGATCTAAAAGGAGTGGACAATCCCTTTACTCTTGTTTTCAAAGTTTAATCACTGCTCAAATGTCTCCTTAATATGGTTTAATATGCTACTGTGGAAAAACTCAACAGCATTCAGCTGCTTCCCCAGAGAGGATCGCAGAATCCAACTCCACAGTAGCTGGACCAAAGCTTGCATCAGCAGCCCCGGAGGGCCACTCCAACCAAAATGTGTAGCAGATGGAGAGCTGGTCCATACGTGACTACACCGAGACTGCAAAAGAGCAAAATGAGAACTACAAGTGCCAACTTCAAGACGGTGCCATCATCCCTCGGATCAGAGGTTTGCTGGACTGACATATGATTTTACTTTTTTTTTTTTCCCCACAAAGTACATGGCAAATAAAATACTTGCTGATGAGAACCTTATAAACATAATTATATCTTTATTCATTTAAGAAATGATGGATCCCTGTTTTTCCTTCTCCTTTCCTTCTTCTGCTTTCCTTCTCTAAGCTGCTGGACTTGAATGAACACAAATTTTAAACTGGTGCAGCAGGTACTTCACACACACACACACACCAGCACCACGTTAGAGTGGTCTGTCCAACGATTTCTGTAACTGGGTTCACATCCACTTCATGTCGTGACTGGCCAGCTGCGAGGAGCCAAGAAAGCAGCCTGATTTTGTACTCCTCTCTCTCGTGTTCCCTTTTCCATTGGACACAGAGCATTTTACGGCACTTCTCCTGCGAACAACCAGGTGAAATATCCTGACAGTCTCCATGGAGAGACTGTCTGATGACGTGCACCATTGTTCCCACATACTGCACAGTATCCTGTTATACCCCACCCTCCAGCTTTGTCATGTCTCAATATGAATGAACAAGAGCTGCACAAATATGTTCTTCTAATTTTTGTTTTTAACTATATAGAAAACAAGATCATCTGCATAACCACATCTCCCTGATCAAGTTTTATTTATTTGGTTTTCAGTTAGATTGTAGCTAAAGTTCAATCTGCTGAAAAAAACAAACATGTTTTTAAGTTAGGAAATACATAAAGATTGTAGAGCACTCGTGTTAATAATTGCAAACTCATTACTGACCAAAACTATTCTGATTTCTGCCATAACTGAACATCAGCAGTGAAAGAAAGCTCCTGAAGCTGTAGAGGACGACCGTTTCCACAAGCCCAACAGCAGGCCCTTAATACAAACAGCCTGCTGGTTAGTGGGATGGGCAGTACACCAGATGTATCAGCATACATGCAGTAATTTCTTTAATTATATGAATATTAAGTCAATAATAAGTCAAATAGCACTCAATAAACCAAAATGCCTATTGTGGATTTTACAGGAGTTAGAGCTGCATCCACACAGGAAGCAACGTAGCGACCAGAGCCCACAGAAAGTGATGAGTAAAATAATCACTGGGATGCAAAGTTGGCGGAAAGCGAGTACCAATGCGAGTGCAGGATACTTTCGATTGAGATATGACCTAGTAGTAAATGCATTAAAGGGTTACCTAGGCAACTGGAGCCAGGAACGTGTGCAAGCGATGAGCTGTCAGCTTCAAAGGGAATCATTTTGTGTGGACACAGTTGAAGAAGTTGAAGCTCAAGCTACACTTGTAGTATATTCATTAAAAGGAAAGTTTTCTATGCAGTCTATGCAGCGCTGTTCAAAACTAAGCACACCCCAACATTCAACAGCTTGCAGAACCACCGTCACTGTTTTGTGTACGATTTTATCCGTCTCTCACGTCGTTGTAGAGGAATTTTGACCCCACCCTTCTTTACAAAACTGCGTCAGCTCATTGAGGTTTGACTATATTTGATTAAGGCATTAATTTAAGCACAGCTCTCTTAAGATCAACAGCATATTGATCAGGTTGAGTTCTAGACTTTGACTGGACCTTTACGACATGTTGATTCTTTTCTCTTTCAGCCATTCCAAACTTTACTGCCAGAAAGAAGAAGAGTTTGTGCTGATGTGCCGTGTTTGGTTTTTCCCAAACATGGTAGATGTACATTATGGCCAAACATCTCCACCTATTCACATAAGTTTTGCTTTAATAATCATCAGCTTCCTGAAATCAAAGCACGTAACAGTGTTTGAAATATGAACACTTTCCAAATCTTTCATATTTACAGAATGGTATTCTGGGTAATGTCATCTTTCAAGGTAGAATAACAGTACAACAGCTGGGAGGATGTTTGTGGCTACATATAAAGACGAGGATGAAGAAAGAGACGCGACATGCCCTAACGCAGACCTTCCCAAAGTGGGGGCGCAGAGCCATTGCAGGGGGGGCGCGGTATGAAAAGGGGGGGGGGGGAGGCTTGGACACTGCTAGCACGGGGCGCCCACACAAACGCAAAGCAGGAGATGAAGCATCGCGGAATATGTTTCCAAACCAACTTCATTCTAAGCCAAAGACTAGAAAATATGGTGAAGCACGTCTGCCCTTTGGCTTCACCTGCACAAGTGCCGAGGTAGGTCTCCCTGCAGGATTGGTTTTCCCTGCGTCGGGAGCAGCGCTGGGCTGTTCAAATCACGGACAAACAGGATCCCACAGCTGTTTGTTTTTAAACCCATTTTGCACAGAGAGGCATTTTTTGAAAAATGTATTGATAGTAATGTTGAATATTATTACACAGGAAAAAAACAACTACACGTAAAATAATCCCACTGTGACGCCTCTGCCTTTGTAAATGGAGGGACAGTAACTGCGTGTGTGTATGTAAACATGTAAAACCTGAAGATTAACAGTATTTTGTCTCGATCTGCCATTCTGCAATTCATCTCACGTAAACAATAACGTGGCGCACAGCGTGACGTGAAACAAAGCACATCCCTTTGACGTTGTGTTACGAACTCTGTATTCCTCGTCCACACGTAAACGCAAAAAAGGAGTTTTAAAAAAATCTCAGTTTTCGGTGATTTGAAACGCCGTTTAGGTGCGGACGAAAGGCCCAAGCACATAGAAACAGCTGCGTTTTCAAAAATACCCGTGTAGGTGTGGACGTACCGTACAAGAGTTAGTAGTTTATTTTATTATTACCTGTAATTTATTGCAGATTACTTGTATTTGCTTAATTGTTTACTAAATGTTTGAGGTGTGAAATAAACCGCAATGGAGCAAAAGATGGGCGTGTGTGGTTGGAGGACGTGTTTGTGCGCGCGCAGGGCGCGAACAGTTTTCTTGTAAAACAAAGGGGGGCCAGCAAAATAAAGTTTGGGAACCACTGCCCTAACGTAACATAACATGTGACCAACAGAGAGCTGTTTGTATTTTAAGCTTTTTAGTTAAAGAAAAAATGAAAAAATTTTTTTTTTGACTTTTTCATATTTGCTTGTTGCTTTGCTCTGCAAACTAACGAGTCACATATTTGCTTCAAAACAGCAGCAATTAAAAGTGACCTTAGGTGCAGACTGCAGGCCTCAGGCAAATATTTCATATTAGTTAAGGGGGGGCTAAGACTACTTTTCTTATTGTTCTGATTGTGTGTTATTACAATGATTTATTTTACATATACCCCTGACAAAAGGGAAAAGGAGTCACTGTAAACCTAAATAAAGAACCACTGATTGGAAAAATAACAATGACTATTATTGTGCATGCCAATTCCAGCTAAATGTAGCAAGAAAAAAAACGTACCTCGACATGATTGGCAACCAGCCGGCTGTCCCCGGTCACTGCAATGGTGAACTGGTAATATCCGCTGGCTGGCTGGCTGGACATGAAGTTCAGTTCAAAGACGCCGCTGAAAAGGAGAAAATAAGAAGAACTCGGTATAACAGCTGGGGTTGCAGTCACAATTTACTGTAAAATGAAAGTACGTTGGGATATTATGTAAAGAGGATTAGAAACACAATCTACAGCCAATGACAACTGTCTGCTTTAATACTGGAGTTTACCCTGTCGTTGGGGATAAATCTCAACTTCTGGGGAACCTGAGAGACGACTGTACAGCTAACATACATCTGGATTCTTATACATACTCATTAATTGTGAATGGTGCTTGGTTGAGAATGGCAGCCTTCGAGGCCACAGCGTATGCAGATTCCACCACCACATTGGCTGAGTCTAGTGGTTGAGACATGACATCAGTGACAAGGAGCTGTGAATCAGAAAGAGAGAGAGACAGGGTGATGTGACTGTGAGGTGATTAAAAACCACACTGAGGGCTGTAGATAGAACACGATCCATCATGTGTACCTGCAGGGTTGGCTGGCTGTGGGAAACAGTAGCTGGGCCCTGGGCAGTGACGACTACGGGTACGTGGAAGCGGTTGCCGGACAGAGCAGCGGCGGCGCTTGCCACGCTGAAAGCCTCAGCCAGAGAGTCCCAGGATTTCTTGCTGAAGATAGAATTCACCAGCTGGATGACCTGATCCTGTGTGAAGAGAACATTTGCCATGAATACCAAGCCAAATCGATATAACTTCAGCTGGTACAGCACTAGGGATGGGTATCGTTTAGGTTTTATCCGATACCGGTGCCAAATCGGTACTTTTGAAACGGTGCCGGTGCTCAAACGGTGCTCAAACCGGTGCTTAAAGAATGGAGAACACAAAATTGGTCC